GCCCAGGCTTGATTCAAACCCGCCACCTTAGGTGTATGTGGCTGGCACCTTAGCCACTTGAGCCACAGGCGCCAAGCCCACCTCAGCCTCTTAAAGCACTGGGATTACAGGGATGAGCCACTGTATCCAGCCTATGATATGTTGCTAATTTTGGTCACCCGACTCTGCTACCAAACCTTAGAATTTATTCCTTAGTCTAACTGTATGTTTGTACCCATTAGCTAACCTCTCTTTATTCTTCCTCCCACCCACACACCCTTCTCAGCCTCTGGTATGTATCATTCTACTTTCACCTCTGTGAGATCAACTTCTTTTTTTTTTTTGAGACAGAGTCATTCTGTTGCCCTCGGTAGAGTGCTGTGGTGTCATGACTTCATGACTCACAGCAATTTCAAACTGTTTTTGAGCAATCCTCTTGCCTCAGCCTCCTGAGTAGCTGGGACTACAGGTTCCTGCCACAATGCCCAGCTAGGTTTTTTTCTATTTTTAATAGACACAGGGTCTCGCTCTTTCTCAGTCTGGTCTCCAACTCCTGAGCTCAGCAATCCATCTGCCTTGGCTTCCCAGAGTGCCAGAGTGCCAGAATGCTAGGATTACAGACATGAGCAACCGTGGCCAGCCTTGGTGACAGTTTTGCTCCCATCATTTTCCTCTTTCTGGGTCCTAAATCCAACTCACCAGGTTTATCCTTCATCCTTTCAGTTGCCAAGAATGAATTAAACTCCTATTGTGTATTAACTATTATGCCAGCCTGCCAGCCTCTAGAAGGGATGCAGGGTTGGGAAGAGCCTCTTCTGAGATTTGCATGACTGTGCAGACAGGTGCTCAGGTAGCAAGCAGGTGCCTCCTGAACAATGTTGGCTTGAGAAAGAGTTTGCAAACTTGTAAGCAGGGGCAGGACCCCAGTTCAGTGGGTGAGACACAAAACTTATGGGGTTAGGGGTCCCAAAACCCTGGTCATCAAGCTGCATACCATTTTAATGCAATATTTAACGCAAAGGAAGCCATGATGAACAAAATATGCATATTTTACATAAAGACAGGATCTAACAGATTAGGCTATGGGTGGCCGAGTGAGGTGAGCTGTATAAGTGAAAAATTAATCAGATCTCAGCTTTCTTTAAAATGCTGGTATTGGGCCTGGTGCAGTGGCTCACATCTGTGATGCTAGCACTCTTGAAGGCCAAGGTGGGTAGATTGCCTGAGCTCAGGAGTTCGAGACCAGTCTGAACAAGAGCCAAACCTTATTTCTACAAAAAAATAGAAAGACTAGCTGAGGGTTGTGGCAGGTGCCTGTAGCCCCAGCTACTTGGGAGGCTGAGGCAAGAGGATAGCACAAACCCAAGAGTTTGAGGTTGCTGTGAGCTACAGTGACACCATGGCATTCTGCCCAGAGTGATAGAGTAAGACCCAGCCTCAAATAAATAAATAAATAAATAAAAATAAATTTAAAAAATAGGGTGGTGCCTGTGGTTCAAAGGAGTAGGGTGCCAGCCCCATATACCGGAGGTGACAGATTCAAACCTGGCCCTGACCAAAAAAACTGCAAAAAAAAAAAAAATAAATAAATAATAATTAAAAAAATAAAATGCTGGTGTTTTGTTCATCATGGATTATTTGTGCATTTATTCTGAATTTTTAAAATATTGCATGAACCTAGTATTTATCTTGACAGTGCGTTGTGGAGTTCTTTTGTTTTGGCCTCTATTTAAAATTTGGATTTGAATGTTAAATTTGGGTTGTAGATTCAGCCATTCCCCAGTTTATGCATATTTCAAAACATCACGTTGTATACCATAAACAATTTTTAATTGTCAAAAATTTTAAATTTTAAATTTTCAAAAATTAAAATTAAAAACATACACTTTTGGAGCTGAGACAAATGCTTCACTTGTCTCATCCACATCCCAGCCCTGACTTTTCCTTTGGGGGCAAGAGAGGACGTGCTGGAGTGAAGAGGGCTCAGCTAACTTTCACCCAGTTGCGGCAGGAAATCTCCAGACCTTCTGATTTTCTAAGAGTGCCTGGAAATTTGGATTTTTCACCCCAAATTCTCCTGATTTAAAAACATTGGCAACAGATTTAAAAACTTCCAAGATTTTTTTTTGACACATGAGGGAACAACTGGTTTGCACCCCCAATGTAGACAGTCATTCTTGGGGGGTATGGGCCAGAGAGAGAGGGGTTGGGAGGTGGGAGGGCAGACAGGGAGGAGGAGCTGCTTGCTCCCAGGCACCTGGTTTCTCTGTGCACTGCGGGGGAGGACACTGTTGCTTGGAATGAGCAGGGAGGTTCCTGCAGGGATGACAGGAGCTCTGGAGGAGCCCAGCTGAGGAGGACAACAGCCCTGATCACGGAGCCCAGGTGGTGGTGGACACAGAATGTCTGCCTTAGCTAAAGTCCCTGAGTTCACAAAATATGGTGGCTCCATCTCCCTACATAGGAACGTCTCCCTTTTAGGACCCCTTACTGCTTTTGGAGACCAACCAAATGTTTCCCAACATCACCTGAGAAGCTTGTCAAAAATGCAGATTCCAGGGTCCAGTTCCTGCAAGATTCTGCTTCGTTCCATCTGGGTGGGGGCCCAGGAATCTGCATGTTAAGATCTAGGCCTCTAAGTTAGGAAATAGTAAAGCCCTGGAAATTATGAAATGAGCTTAGGCAAATGACCATGGGTTGCATCTCTCTGAGACACAATTTCTACCTCTGTAAAATGGAGCTAATAATAATCCCGCCTTTTAGCTTTAAGCAGCCAGGGTTCCACGAGAGGGAGCCTGTGAGGTTTTCAAGGAAGCGGCGCCGCTGTTATTATTGTTGACTTTCTTCCCTCAAACTTGAGCTCCCGGAGCTAGGATTCGGGATTCGAACCCGCTTTCCTCCCTCGGAATTCGAACTCCCCCTCGTGCCTCCTTGACGTAACGAAGTTACCCCAGGAAAGCCGCTCCTCGCCCTACCCCCAAGACCACCACGGAGTGTTGATTTGCATATTAGCATAGCCCCGCCCCCTCCGCGCGTTCCGGGCTCATGGGTGGCTCTCGGCGGTGCCACTCAGCGCTCCGCCCCCGGCCCCTCCCGCGTCCAGAGCCCCGCCCTGCCCTAATCGGCGCAGCCTACCCCGCTGCCTGCCCTGCGCCCCGCCCCCTGTCCTGGCCTCCCGCCGCCGGGGCTCGCAATTGGTCTCGCTGGGACGCCGGGACCTGCCCCTCGAGCCCCGGCCCCGCCCCTCGGAGGGGAGAACGAGGGCTAGCCGGCTGGGGCTGCGGGTTCGGCTGCGCGGCGGGGCTGAGGCGGCCGCGGGGCCAGATCGCAGGTAAGGGCGCTGGCGATCAGGGTCCGAGAGCGGGGATGGGAACTGAAAGCTATGTCGGAGGCCCGGGAAACGGGCTGGGACGGCTCTGATTTGGTTGCGGACCGAGTTGGGGGTCGGGGGTAAGCTGAAGAGGGGGCTGGGGCTGGGGATTCGGGCTGTAGTTGGGGGTCAGGGCTGGAGCTGGGGTCGGGACTGGAGTTGGAATCCAGGTTAGCTGGGGAAGGGGCTGAACTTGGGATGGAGGTTAGTTGGGGAGGGGGCTATAGCTACAGTCGAGGTTAGCTGAGGAGGGGCCGGAGAGTGGAATTCAAAGTCTGAGTTAGTTGGGGAGGGGGCTGGGGTTGATTGGAGGGTGCAGGCTATTTGAGGAGAGACCTGGGAGTGGAGTTGAGGGTAGAAGATGTGGGGGAGTCTGGGATGGAGTTTGAAGGGAGGCTAGCTGGGGAGAGGGCTGCAGATAGAATTAGGGCAGGGTTTAGCTGGGAGGGGTCTGTGGAGAGTTGTTTGTCGAGAATAGTGATGGAGGGACACAGTGGTTAGAGTTACCTGGGGAAAGATCAGATGGACAAAGTCAGGGGCTGGCCAGGGAGGGGCTGGGGAATGGGAGGGTGGGCTTGTCCCAGAAGGAGTCCAGGAGTATGAGGAGAAATGGAGAGCTTGAGCGTGCATTGGGTGACTGGGGGCTCGTGTTAGGGGGGGACATTAGGACTGGTGGTGAGAAAGATGTGGGGTAAGAGGTGAAAGAGACCAGGGAGTAGGTGTTTTGCTAGAGGTTGACTATTCAGGAGGTAATGGGGGGGGGTCTCAGGTAGTATTCAGTTATAAGAAATTTGGAGAGGAATCGCCCCCTCAGGCTTTCTGGGGCAACTAATCATTTGGCATAGGAAAGGGCATGGGGCAGACATCCTTGGGGCATAGGGAGCTTCCGGAAACTGGAGTTCAAAATACTTTTTGAGGTCTATTTCTAGGATATAGGGTGCAAAGGAGAATGTCTTAGGAAGCAGAAAGGCTCATGTTGGTGACTGAATTTTTCAGGAACTGAAGTGGGAGTTTTTGGGACGATGCTATTGAGGGACGTGGGTGGCACTTTATTTCTCCTGGGTAGCGGGGGTTGCTAGGGGCTTGGAGGTGGGTGGTGGAAGACAGGCTTGACGAGCAGAACCCACAGATCCCCAGCTAAGAGTCTTTAGGCAGTTGCTAGGTGTCGGAGAGGTAAATGTCAAGTTCACAAACTTGTGCCCCCAGCAAGTGCAGTCTGATCTGTGGAGATGGTGCATTGAGGGGCTTGGGAGGTGGGCCTGTGTTCATATCGGTCCTCTGGCTGCTGACTTAGCAGCATTAGTGTAGTTTGCTACTCCTGGAAAAGGGGGAATAATAAAAACAGCATCATGTGCCTCTTAGGGTTGTTGCAAGTATCAAATGAGGATTCCATGTCCCAAACACAACTTCCTGGCACATCATGAAGTTCCTGAAGCATTGAGGAATATGCTCTAAATAAAATTTTTTCTTGGGGTGGTGGGGTACAGGTGGTGGGGAAGTAAAATGAGTGGGTTGCCACGGAGTGGAAGAAAGAAAGCAATTGGTACCTAACTCTAGTCCTTGAGGTGCACATAAGAATAACCCTAGGAGCTTTAAAAGACAATCTGCAAGGAAAAAAAAAGTCTCTGTGTTATTAAAAGTGAGGAAAACAATCAGCCTGGACCTGGCACTGGGAGATTCTGAAGACTTGTCAGGAACAAGTGCATCTACCTAAGAGAAGGCTGCTTGAGTCATTCTGACTTAGGTGTACCTAGTAACAAACCATTCCAATGTGGGCTCTGTAAGGAATCACTGGGCCCTAGTTATATGCTCTTTATTTATGAGCTTTACAACTTGACTTCATATGACACGTTTGGGCACTGTGGACATTGAAACCAGGTCATTTTCTGGGGTGAGGGCTGTCTTGGGAGCCACAGGGTGCTAAGCATCATCCCTGGCTCCACCCACTCAGTGCCAGGAGGACCTATCAGTCGTGACAGCCACAAATGTCCCCAGATATTGCCCAATGTCCTGAAGGGGCAGAATCACTCCAGTTGAAAACCATTGTAATAGACAAAACTAATTTATTTTCTCATTTAAAAACCTCATCTTACCTTTGAGTCTCAGATAGTGTGGCCATTCAGGATTGGGGACTGATGGTTTGAGAGGGCTGGAAAATGATCACACTGCTTTTAGAGAATTTTAGAAATGCTGAGTTATTTCCAGGTAGGTCTTATAGAAGTGTCTATGTGACTTCTGAACACTTAATATTGATTCTGAATATGTGATTAATTTACCAGTTCCAGGCAGTGAAAGATGCTGGAGTTTGTGATCTGCTTCCTTGGTTTTAAGCATGAGGTTTCTAAAGAAGCTTGAATGAATTTTTCAGGTGATGCTCGGTCTTACAAAGGAGCTTTATTTAGAATATATCCTTTGACCGAAGCAATTATTTTCTGCTCTTGTTTCATGCTTAATAAAGCCTGGGGCCCTGCCGTGTGAAGGGAAAGAGAAATAAACATGAATCACTCTCACACGCAGATGACCTGGCTTTGCGTTGCTGAACAGAGACACTTCTTGTGCAGCATGTCACAGCGTGCAAACCTTTCTTCCCATGCCAGCTGTTAGTGCAGCTTTTCTTATTTGCCCTGTGGACAGTGATGATCTTTAAAATCATATTTATTAAGTCATTCATAGTTTTGAAGGTTTTTGGTGATTTCTCACAAAAAGGTTATACCTGGCCTCTATGGATTTGAAATGTCCCCGTGCTTTCCAGAGAGGCTAGTGATGACAGTTGTGTGACTGATCAGGGTGACACAGCCTTCTTGTCCCTCTTACCTTGTTCCTTGCAGGCTGCTGTGTCTTCACTGACAGGAACACCTCTGTGGGTGATTGCCCATACCAGATTTCTGTCCCAGGGAAGGTTTGTCTCTGAACTATGACACCATTGTGTCCTTTTGCAGTGGACTTCTGCAATTCCACAGCGTCCTTGGTGATGTCGGGGTATCTCCCTCCGAGCATTGATGTTCATTTGGACATACATTGACCTCACTTGTCACTGCTTCTTGCTGCTGTACCCTTTGGGTTAAAGAAAAGCATTCATGGTCCATGTCACCCCGGAGACTTGACCTGGCAGACTTAATGTGAGGGCTGAGGAGATGGGGGCGACTTGTCCTTGGTGGCACACTGGCCCCAGCAGGTCACTCCTGTCCTTCTTGCCTGCTTTGTAGCATGGGTGAGCCATCTCTTCTCCTTGCTCCTGTGTTGTTCTCATCTCCCACCGGATCTTGCCATGGGTGGGCCCATGGGCTGCTCTGAAATTCTTCCAGAAACAGTTATGGAGGTTCTTGAGAACCTTGCAGAGAGGAAGGTCTTTATTGCTTTTTATTCTTTAAATGGAGGCTATGATTTAAATATAATAAAATTCAACTATTTGGTTTTTAAAATAAGTTTATAGGCTCGGCGCCTGTGGCTCAAGCAGCTGGGGCGCCAGTCACCTACATCTGAGCTGACGGGTTCAAATCCAGCCTGGGATCGCCAAACAACAATGATGGCTGCTACCAAAAAAAAAAAAAGTTTATAGAGTTGTGCAACTATCCCCATAAACCCCTTTTAGAACTTTCCATCATCCCAATAAGGTCCTCTGTCCCCATCAGCAGTGACTCCCCATCCCCTCACCAGTCCCTGGCACCCATGAATCCACGTCTCATCCCTGTGTATCTGCCCACTGTGGACATTTCACATAAATGGAGTCTCATACTGTGTCCCTTCTGTGTCTGCTTCTCTCACTGAGCATGATGTCCTCAAAGTCCATCCATGTAGCAGGTGTCAGAGCCCCCTCCTTGTCATGGCTGAGTGATAATCAATTGCATGGTTGGACCACATGTGTTTGTCCACTCATCTGTGGATAAATATTTGGGTATCTCTACTTTTGGTGTTGAAGCCCAGTGCTGCCATGTAAATGTTTTTTGTTTTTTGTTTTTTTTTCTGGGTATAGGTAGCCCAGTAGACTGAAGCTTGGGGTGTTCACCCAGGGGTGTTTTCCCCACTCTTTTGTCTACTTTCTTTCCCCCCACCTTGAGCTGAGAGCTTTACTATCTGTGCTGAGAGCCTCCCAGCCAGCAGATTTCAGCTCTTGTCTCTCTTACCCCAGCAGTTGAGCCCTTCACTGCCCCAGTAAGCTCCCTAAGTCGCCAATCAGATGGTCACTTCCCTACCACCTCCACCAGCTCATCCTCCGTGCTGGAATCATAGGTCCTCATGTGGCCTCTATGTTCCTGCATGAGTTGGCCCCACCTGACCTTTCTGAGGCCCCCAGTCATCCCATCCTTCGCTCTCCCCCACCCCAGGTTTCCTGCATGCTGCTGTTGCTGTCTCCATTGTCTGAACCACTCTTTCCTTCCTCTATCCAACAAAGGCCCGTTGTGTGCCTATTTTAAGCTTCAGAATTTGTGCCAGGCCCTGGGAGTGCCACGTGAATGAGCTGCCTGTGTGCTGGCATGGGGATGGCAGCGGGGTCGGGGTGCCTGAGCCCTGGTGCCTGCCTTGGCTCTAGGAAGCAGGGTCCCTGGAGCAGCACAGAGAGGGGGCTTAGCCTGTGTGTTCTGTGAGCCTCACCATTGTGGGCATGGTTAGGAGTCTCTTAAGGGTCCTGGTATGTGGTTGGGGGTGAGTAATTGGCCAGGAAGGTCCAGAAAAGAGGCTAGAAAGAAGCTGTGAAATGGACACGTGTACCAGAGGACAGCTGGAAGGATAGCACCCCATCTTGGGGTATCGACAGTGGCGGCTGGGTCTTTCCTTCTATCTAGAACAGGTTTGTTCAACCTGGGCCATCTTGAGCCCACAACTAAGGCTCATGCTTTCCTGACTTTGTCTTTGCTAAATTGCACAGGGCTCCTGGGGCCGCCGTTATCAATGACCACAAATTGGGTGGTTAAAGCAAAAGAAATACATTGTCTTATGGTCCTGGAGGCCAGACATCTGAG